GTAGATTGTTCGAAAACATCATCTAAAAATATCCAAGATGCCAAAGCTGTTACTCCAATAACTCAGACTTGTCAGAAAGAAATGCATAAAACTGTTAATTTGGGTAATTTGCAAATTGATGCTTTAATAGATACTGGTAGTCAAGTAACGCTAATCCGAGAAGATATACATAAGAAGATAGGTTCTCCTGAACGGCAGGTCGGCAGGTCTACAATTAACGGGGTTTGGTAATGAGAAAATTAAGCCTATATTAAGGTTTGAAGGTGAATTCGAAGCTGATAGTTCGTCCTTTCGATCCAATATTTGTGTTATCGCACAAAACAAGAAATCTGAGAATGATTCTGAAGAGCAAAAAAATGCTTATTGCAATGGAAATGGTTCTGAAGAAGGATTTGAAAAAGTTGTTAATTATGGTTTTTTACTTCCAAAACCAGAAACTGATCCTGTTAGTATAGTTCCTGTTACAGTACAGAATGTGATCAAACTGGATACTTTCATCTACAATCAAAGCAAGTGGCATGATTCCCTGATTGTGAATTCTGATGATGTCCGAGTGATGCAGATCCTGCTGTAAATGAAAATGATGCTATTAAAGATGAATTAGTGCAAAAAGGAAATTCAAGCACAATACAATTAGCTCTGAAGCCAACGAGGAGAAACGCACTGCAGAAGGAGATTCTGAAGAGAAGCATTTTCCCGAAGAAGAGTCAGTTGCTAAAGATGATGAATCAAATGCGAATTCTACTACTAGAACAATTTCAGTAAAATACCTTGCAATAGAGAAGCAAAAGAAGCCACTGGAGACGAAGAAACTACAGAGACCACCGAAGAAGAAGAGAAGATTGAAAATCAGAAGTCTGTCAGAAAACCTGATCACAACGACGCTGATACAGAAAGCAAAGACGGAACAAAAGAAATTAAAGAAGGTGAGAAAAAAGAAGCGAAAAAACAGATTCAGAAGATATAGGAAGAAACCCGAAAGGCTTTGACAATGAAATACCGATTTTGATGATTTCTGATTATAGACAAATTTCTCACGATTTGACTAATGGACTATTATTTTAAAGACGTGAACTAATTTAAGAAGACTGAAGATGATGTCTAAGGATGAAATATATGAAGGAAGACGGCTTAAAGAAGATGATTTTGAGAAGACGCATTCGAATGACGGATCTTGAAGATATCTAAGAAGCATTCAGAAGACATATCCAGACGGTATCTGTGAAGACGCATTCAGAAGACGTATCCAGACGGTATCTAAGAAGACCCATTCAGAAGACGTATTCAGACAATGTTTAAGAAGACGTAAATACGAAGACGAATCCAGACGAATTGTTCCAGACAACATCAAAGGAAGACGTGTTTGTGAAATGTATGTATTCAGATAGACTGTTCAAGATGAACGAACACTGAAAGAGCATTTAAGAAGAGCTAACGCCGTTACTTCTGAGGATGTTAAGATGATAAGGGAAGATGGCTGAAATAAACCATTTAAGACGACTTTTCCCTCAACAGTAACTAAAAAATTTTTTTGTTTGTTTTTTTTAAATTTTATTTTTCAGATCCCTAGATGAGATTGTGGTGCTACAAGAATGCGAGGCCGCATTCCATCAGGACGGACGAGCAGTTGTGGGATGGCATCGTTCATTATAATCAGATGACGCGACAAGCTGTGAGAATAAATCTTTTACTTTTCGGATGATAGAAGTCAGACGATTCCGCCATTAAGACGATGACGCGATTAAAAGATGTTTGCATATTAAAGATGATTCCTTCTCTTCATCTGTAAATAATCTCACCTATTTCCTTCTACGTATGTAATTACTTTGTAGTTTGTAGCAACTATTCATGTTTTATTAAATATTCAAGTTTTACATAAATCGGACTAGTTTATTAGCCCCTAGACAGCCACCTAAGTAAGTTTACAAACATCATATTCCTAGACAGTAAGTATCGATTCTACAATACTGTGTTTAATATGTGACGTGTGGATGTGCTAAAGGCCTCAGTTATATTACTTTTGGGACATAGTGTACGTGTTCTACTCTTTTAACGTAGAGGAGAAGAGAGTACTTATTTGTACCGTGAGTACATCAGTTTAACATAACTACGTGATGAATCAAAGCCATTCTAATAATCGGAAGTAGTACTTGGCATCAGTCTTAATTGGACGTACACGCGGTAGAAAGAAGCATTGTTCTTTGAAAAACGTAAAAATGATGTGTTTAAAGTGTTAGAATTAACCTTTGTTAGATTAGTCGTTAAAATCGTGTATTAAAATTTTTAAACATTCTTTAACTGGTTATCTAAGAATTGCTCAATTTGTTCATAATCTCTTAAAGTAAATAAAATATACCATGCTATGTCCAAGGGATTTTTTTTACTTCCCACTAAAGTATATACATAGATAAGAGATGTAATGTTTTCAGTCCAAAAATTCAATAACGAATTTCAGCAAATAAACAAGAATTAGGGTCTCCACAACACGTTTTTACTATTTTTACAATGATGTATGTCTGTGTGTCTGTGCATACGAGTGACGAATTTTTCGCCTGCGTCTACTTTTATATGAAACTTCGAAAAATATCTGTTTTTCGTATTTAAGCTTTCTACATTCATATAAGAGTTGATTAGATTTTGGGTAAAATTGAACAACTGGAATTATTCTTTACTTAAATCCCATAATATTTTTTATGAAAAACTCTATTGAAATATAATCAAAAAATTATCAATTTTAATATTTAAGACTTTTATATCGATAGGAGCAACATATTAGATTTCGGCTAAAACTGGTTTACTTGACGCTCTAAACAGAATTTCATGAAAAAATACGTTATGATATATTAGAATATCATATATAGCAAACATTATGGATAAATAAGACATATTATAATATATTCGATTTTGGATATATATGACAAACCATAATCGGTACTTTACTTAGACTTCTCTACAGATTTTAGTGAAAATCGAAACGCTATAATAAAAGTTTAATCTAAAATAATGCAGTGTATATTAAATCTATTTCTATTTTATCTAGACATGATATTTATTTATTTCAAGTCGTGGAAAAGAATGATTTTTATAACAATGTTTAATTTGCAGAACTTCAAAACTCTTGTAAATCCAGGCATAAAATGAACTTATTCTTGTACTACTGGGGGGGGGGGCGATGACAAGGCAAAAGAAGAAACAGCAAATTTCGAAACTCTTAATCGCTTTACATCTTACTGATTCCGAAATGCACAATAATCGGTATCCAGCTGTATTTCAAAACCTAAGGAGCATTATTTACTGATAATTAAATATCATGGGGATATATGTGTAGGTCAAAATCAATTTAGATTTGTTGATGTTGTAGAAGTAACATAGAAAGTTATTAAATTATTGTATTCCTTTCAAAGTATTTATTTTAAACACTTAACTGTTTTAATTAAAATCCAATTAAATGGTATGTCATTCAACTTCCCAATAAAATGCATTTTTGTAACTTAAAAAAGGGGGAGTTCATTTGATTACGTCGATATGAATTTAGAAAAACCAGTTTATGCAGCCAAAATTTCATATTACAAACTTTTCTATTTATTGGAACAAGCAATTAGATTTTGAAGCTAAAACAGTAATTTTTGTGTTTAATAGTGCAAGTTAGTAATTTGATAACGTATTTTAATATGTAATCTAAGTATTCAGAACGCACTAAATGTTGTAGATAGTCTGGCCCGCTATCAAAATTGGTAATCTAGATACTTTAATAAATGAGCTTAAAACTGTAAAATCTTGTTCGTGAATTGTGTAGCTGTTTACCATGTCACCGCGCGTCCAGTTCCTCAAGAATGACACATAATTCTCAAATGGGTTGAACGTGGCTGGTAATTTTGCAATATACACTGATATATATATATGTCGATGAAATTATCGAGTTTTAAAATGATGCTAAATTTTTAAAACGTGAATGGTCATTCAGATATTGATATAGGGTATTTGAAAATATGAACTGCTAGATACATTATTATTTTTGTGAACATATTCGGTGGTTACAATAATTGTTGCATGCGAACAGATTCATAATGGATTGAATACACGCGGAAATAATACAGCTTGATAAAATTTATTTTCCAAAAAAAACACTTAATAGTTCCGGAACTTTTCACAAAAGTACTCGTAAAGCTCTTCTCAGTATAATAAAGAAGTCAGGAGTTATCCATTTCAAACTACTAATAGCGTTAAATACAACACAATACAAAATTCATCCAAACAGCGAAGCTAACGCGGAGATCTCTAAATACTTTCAATTGAAAACTGAGAATTGATGCTTTCTCCGATCTTATTATAGTTTTCCTTTGGCCTCAGAGAAATTTTTAGTACATTGCATTTCTTGAAATTACTCTAAAGCATACGCGGCTAAAATTGCATATAAGGGTCAAATACGGTTACATGCAGAGACCAATGAAAGTTATTCAGTTACAGTACCAATTACTGCAACTGAGTATCGGTCCTCCTCGGTACGTCCATATCCTCATATCCCATTTTGCTGCTTTCTGCCAACTGAAATAGAGCTTAATTTTTTTTTATTTTTCTTGCTCTTTCCTTCAAAGTGAATAAAATTTCGTTCCTGAAAAAAATTGCATCCGAGTTGCTTCATTATCCCGTTAAGTCCCAAATTTTCATATCTATGGCAAAATACAATAATAATATAAACTCAAGTGACCGCTACACCTTTAGAATTTTAGAACTTTCATTCTCATTGTCAGTTTCAAAAAGGCATTCTTTTACTTTTTTTAAAGTAAACTTTGTAACGGTTTAAAAAAGCCATTAGTGACTTCATACGAACTAATCGTTTGCGAGTTTAGCAAAACATTTGGTGACGACTACGGCCCCGATTACAGAACAGTACCACTTTTTCTTAGGGTAAATATTTCGGCGATTATTTATATTTTCTTCGAATTAAAATACATTTTCTTCATAACAAAATGAACAAAAAAGAAAAACATTTATCTTACCTGTAGCTGCAGTTCTGCTATTGGACTGGAATTTAAATCTTTTTCCTTCAATCCCTGTATTCTGTTTTTGGATTACGTGATGTAACGTTTTTTTTCTCCTATAAATCTTACTTCTGATGTCATTGGGCTTGTCTATCCTTTTTCTGATTCTTGAAGCAGGTCCTAAGAACAAGAACGTTGCAATTTGAAAATCTGTTATAAGCGTTGTTATGCAGAAAGTACATTCCTCTAAATCTCTCCATAATTAATAAGTTTGCCATCCGTGCGTCAGCTGGATGCAATTTTAAATTCTTTGCAGAAACATGTAATATTCACCAACATTATCAATCAGTAAACTATAATTACAAAGAAATATTTTGGTACTGTAATTATGGAAATCGGATTCTGGAGTCGCCAAAAGCTGAAGATTCTGGAAAAAGTTTGAAACATAAAAATAATCACGGAAATATTTACGATGCGGTAAAATTGAAGAAAATCCAAGGGGAAAAAAGAAAAATTCGTAAAATTAGAAATTTTTAATGTAAATTACATACCTCATCAAAGAAATATAGGTAAAGAAAAATTCGGTTATCGAATTAAGATTAACGCGCAGGCATGAAATTGCTGATATAATTTTAAATGTCTGAAAACATTTGCATTTTAAAGACACTGCTGCCACCACATAAACTCGGTCAAATAAAAGTATAATTGGTTACGGTCAATGGGCCGCTTTGAAATTTATTTCGCCATTTTGCACTGCCCCATAAACTTTCACTAGTTTACCTAAGAAAACCACTATAGAGATCGATAAAATAATATTTATGGTTAACACAGAAATTTTCAAATCCGGCCTCTTTTTACTCTTCAGTTGTTAAACACATTCCAACAAAGTGAGTAGTTTATAGTGCCGTCAATCACATTTTCTTCAATACTTTTAAGCAAAATTCTGGCAGAGCTGTTCGTCACAGCAACTAAAAAGTATTCTTTTGTCTTTTGAATCGGTACTCTTTTGTCATCGGGACCAGATTCAGAAATGTATATATGGATGTATGCGTTCATGTATGCATGTATTTGGGTACGTACCTATATATATGTGTGTAACTACGCACAAAAATACACACTTGCATACATACATACATACATACATTTCTGAATCCGTGACTACCAACAAATCTCGCCGCGCACCAACAGGCACCAACGTTGTTTTATCGACGGGAAAACAAAGGTTCATCAACTTCAACAATATTACGGTGCCTCCAGTTTTAACTGTCGGTCTAGACATGATCACAGACTTCCATTATATGACTATTCCAATCAACAAGGACTGTCATGATTCTTATCAAGTTGATACTGACAAAATTCAAAGAAAGTTAATTCTAAATACCATGCATAAATGAACGAATCTTCAAACCAATTTTTAGAACGTAATCGCTTTTTCTCTTCGGTACGTCCATATCCTCATATCCCATTTTGCTGCTTTCTGCCAACTGAAATATAGCTTCATTTTTTTATTTTTCTTGCTCTTTCCTTCAGAGTGAATAAATTTTCGTTCCTGAAAAAATTGCATTCAAGTTGTTTCATTATCCATTAACTCTCGCACCGAAGTCGCCCGTAACGCCCGTTCATTCAGGCAACGGCAAACCGCCCCAACGCCTCGTTTATTTTCTACCTAGTTCTTTCCCCTCCACGTTAGTGTATGGCTCATTGGTTTCGCGAGTTGTTAAATGACATGTCAATCATTCTTTTGAAGCAAATAAAGGAGAAATACGGAAAGCTATTGACGTTCGCAGGTGCAATCCGGCCCTAAGGTGAAACTGCACACAATGGAAGAAACCGCAGAAAAACCTCCAAGAGCAATAAGGGGGAAAGGAAAACTATTCCAAGACAAGCTATTCCAAGGGTATTTTCGATGTTTGTTGAAAACAGATTTGTTCGTCTCTCGATGCGAAAGAGTTAAGTACCAAATTTTCACATCTATGGTGAATACAATAATAATAAAAACTCAAGTGACCGCTACACCTTTAGAATTTTAGAATTTTCATTCTCATTGTCAGTTTCGAAAAGTCATTCTTTTACTGTTTTTAAAGTAAACTTTGTAACGGTTTATAAAAAAAAACATTAGTGACTTCATACGAACTAATCGTTTGCGAGTTTAACAAAACATTTGGCGACGACTACGGGCCCGATTACAGAACAGTACCACTTTCTCTTAAAGCTGTATATGCTGTATAATATAAGGATCATTATTATTGTTAATTTTGAAATTACTTAAAATTTAAAAGCGAAACATTTAAAAACTTCGGCATAAAACGTAATAAATATAATATACAAATGAATTGTATGTCATGAAACAAAAATGAAGCATTGTTTTGAAATTGAAATAAAAATTTTAAAATATTTTATTCCGAAAATTTAAACTATAAAACCCCAAATCGTTTTGGTTTTTTCAATATGTCCTGCTTGAGTTGCAAGAAATCAATACAATTTTTGTAAATTAAGTTCTGGTGTAGCTTCTATTACACACTCCTTTAAACTGCTGTATTTAACTTCTCTAATTTGTGCAAAAACGTCAACCAATATCAACAAGTTGTTGTTAGCTCTCAAGAGGCGGATACTTCCTGCATTTCTACGTTTATTGCATCCAACTATATTTGCAAGACTATTTGAAAGGATCCTTGAGATTATTTTTGCGTAAATTCGCTTTAACTTCGTTGTTTCTGTTAATTGAAATACAAATTCCTGTTTAAATGTATGATCTCCAATCTCAAATGAGGAAGCTGCGCGTCATTTGTTAAGCCTGTTATAAATATTTATAATATATTTTCTACATAATATGTCGTAAAAACATAAAACTATAAAAAATATTCTCACTCCCCTCCCCCGAAAAAATTGAGTCATTATCTTTACCTGGTGATCAAATTTCAGTACCCTTCTTCGTTCATTTGGCCTCATCATAACAGTTATGTTTATTAATTTAATTTATTTTGGTGACGTAATCGTAGACTAGGGATAGAACAACTTGGTGAAGGACTACACAAAGTAAATTTACTTATATTCACGTTATACCTGAAGAAATGCTATCCATTCATTCTCTACGCTAGATTTCTAAGTTAGATAGAACTCCATTACTGCTCTCATCTTGATTCGATCTTGCTCTAACCCGGACATAAATTTCACGTATTAAAATTTGAAGTTAGAGCAGAGCAATGACAGTAAAACTGCCTAATTTTTAGTCTTTAGTAGACTTACCACTTTAAATACATTTAAGTTTTGTAACGTTTACAAGCAGCAACGGATCTATTTAACCACCCATATTATTATAATTCCAGTTCATATTTAAGTTTGATTTTGTTCACACTTTTTGCTTTTATTTAAATATTTCTTTATTTTTTTCATGACGATTTTAACAATGACTTTTGAAATATTAGCGGACGACGAAAGCGATTTTTTTTTTTTACCTCTTTAACTAACTTTGCTAAAGTAGTTAAAATTAAGTAAAACACTAACCCTATTTTGGTGTAAATTTATAATAAAACTATAAATATTTTAAAACCCTAAAGCTTAAAATAAAACTATAGAGCTTAGTAAGACTAAGAAGGTTCTTGAATAATTCGTCTTGCCATCAAAGAAGGCATTCTGCTTTTAGGTATAACTTTAATAGCATTGTCATCATTCCATTTCATCCTTCTCTCAGTTATAAAATTGCGCGAATTCGCCAGAATTTCATCTTTCAGGTAATTTTCTCTCTTATTAATAAATTCGTTGTTAAGTTTATTAAATATCTCATTCATAAATATTTTTTTGTGGAATTTATAGCACATCTTGTCAGCGTAATTTGTGATAAATTGACCAAAACTAAAATAGCTTAAAATTAATTTATATTTTGCTGAGCAGATGGCGCTACGTTCTTGTTTGCTTTGCGCCGCCCATTGTTTTGGATATAAATACGGTCGTTGCTCCTCCCATTTTGCAGAATTTTTTTTTCTTTATTTAAGAAAAGGAACCTGTGTCTGATCACACTCGAAATCGATAGAATTATCCAAAATCTATGACAAAGTAGAATTCGTGTGTGTGCCCTGTTATAAATTTTATGTGTGGATATTTCTCTTCCGGTTTGATTTATTAGAAAATTTTCTTAGAGTTGTATAATAAATAATTAGCTATGAGTTACAGATATATCTTTATTCAAGATTTGCTAACTGACATTTTCGTGCTGGGTTTTCGTTCCCTTTTTAAGTTAAATAAATAAATATTGTTTTATACTCTACATTTGCATTTTCTTTCTAAGCACTTCAAGGATTTCTTTCTAAAATAACCCACCAATAGATGACTGTATAAATATAACAATATGTAGTTTGTCTTTAGTTAGTTATCGGCGACAATATGTTAACAGTTTTGAATTTAGAGTTTCAGACACCTAATGCACTTCGTTTTCATCTATTGCCTCATATTTCACACGCATACAAGTCAATATCTGCCAAATGACCTTTTCGAAGACATTTCCTCTGCTGCACATAGCCTCAGGGGAAATAAAAGCTTGCTTTAAATGCTTTAGTTTAGTAAATAACCTAATCTATCATTCTGAAACATGTGACATATTTAAACGATCATTTGATTTCGTTTCCAAACTTTTAAGCATCACTTTAAATGCTACTCACCATATAAATGAATTATCAATCATTTATTTTCATTCATTAATTTTCACATAATATATATAATAATTTGTATTGGATAATTTGAAACTTCTCAAGTTATCTTTCTGTAAATGATTAAAATGGAGGCAGGAAAAGGAACTCATGTAGCTTGATGAAACCATTTAAAATAGTTATTTCAGCTTAATTTATTAAATTTATTCAATAATTAATCATATTTATAGCTTTAAAGTCATAAAATGAATATTTAATATCTGTTTGAAGCAAATTTAATAATAAAAACCTTATTCATTACTTTTTAGAAGTTATAAAATTTAAGATAATACACCGAATGCAATCAATTATTATAATAATCCTGAAGCATTCAAGCAATGGATTTTTCTTCGTATTTTTTTATTTCATATCCCGAAAGGAAATCGTTCTTTGTCGCATGACTGAGTAAAAATTTAAATTACTGCTATCCCGATTAGTATTCTTTGAAATGCAAGGACAAATAATTTCTTTTGAATTTTCTACTTCTTTATCCTTTTA